TGGGCATTTGTAGTTTGAATTAAGCACAAACCGACGAATTCTTAGGGTGGTGTGAATGTGCTAAACAACCTTGGGTCCTCTGGGGCTTGACAAGGAACAGAGAGGCTTTTTTGGGCGTTGAAACCCGAAGCAGGAGGAGCTGAGCTTTTCCTACCATATAATGATGGTCTGGCTAATCAGAAATTAATTCACGTTCAGCAGTGACAACTGTTTTGCCTTTGGAACTGAGCTGTTCCGGGCTTGATGATATTTGGATGAGCGACCATGAGGGGAGCTGAACACAACCTGCTGACCATTGCATGGGTGAAAACTATAACTCCCCCCCCATTTTAAGGCCCCATTCCTCAGTTTTTGTTCAGAGAAAAGTCATTGTGATTGTAGCAGGGAAATTACTAGAGCAGTGATAACAGAATAGGGTTCTTATTTGGGTGAATTGTTTTCAATTTCCAGAGGTATCAAAGATTGAGTTAACTCTGAGGTACCTTGAAAAATTGCTTGTATCATCCCTGACTACTTTTACGACCTTGCAGATAACTTCTCTGCCACAGATTCCTCAGTATGAAGTGGGGATAATGATGTTTAGAGCACTCTATAAAAGTAGCTGAGCTCTCTGAGAGAAAATGACGCCTTATGATTAAAATTTTCAGAAAAATGCATGTCAAAAAACCAAACCAAAACAAAGTATTGCCAAAGATCCCTGAATTGTGGAGAGGAGCTGAAGTATTGAACTACTCTTTCTCATATGAACATGTCTATGTAACTCATTTCTTTAACTTTTCTCCTTTTTTTTGGCTAAAACATATTTCAGAGTACACAGAGTCGTTACATGAAAGTTGCGCTTTAGTTATGTACGTGCATGGAGATGTGTTTCATGTGCAGTATAGATGCAGAAAAAGGCTAGCTCAGATTTTCTTCAGGCTCCCCAAGCACGTCTGTTTTGTTTCAATCCATTGCTACCTCAAAATGTTTTCATGTTCCAAGATGGGAACAGCTGAAGTGTTGTAGAAAAAGCGCTTGTGTGCCATACAGACAACAATACTTAATTCTATAATTAGCTTCAGGCAGTCAGACAGCTGGAAATATTTTTGCCAATTTTTTATGCTTATTTTGGCAGATTTTTTATTAAAAGGAAAACTACTCATTAAAGCAACTTTCATTTTGAACTCCCAGATCTTGTTTATAGGAGTCCTTCTATACTTCTAAGAAACAGAAATAAAAAAAGATTATGCATCAAAAAACTTAATGATATTTAGGACAGGAAATAGGTACCATAGGCTGATGTTGTATGTATTTTAATGAAAAAGGAGACACAAACTGACTTATCTTTAAGGATTTGTATGCATCCCTAATGAGGGTAATGTCCTGCCCCCAGGTACTTGTGTCACTTATCACAGCGAGTATGGGAGAGCTGGGTTACTAAGATGAGAGGTGAAAAATAATTTGAGGATGATGATGAGCTTAAAATACCACATATTGTCAGTTTAGGGGAAATCTGAATTGAAGTGACCAAATTGACTCCAAAGGCACAAAAAGTGTGAGAAAAGCCACTGAATCATCTCCCCAAATCTGGGAGAATGATTTTCAGGAAAATGTATTGCTGGCTGAGCATTTTCTGGTGAAACAAGGCACTGAAACTTGTCACCAAATGCTTCCTGATTTTAAAGACCACCTTCTTTTTTAATGAAACCACAGATAGGGTTGTGACACGAGGCTGTCCCAAGTCTTGCTAATCGCCCTGCAGGCAATGGGGAGATGCTGTGTTTCCTGGGTAATGGCGGCCCTGCCACAGGCAGCCCGTCGGGCCTGGGAACTGCAGGGCTTCCTCGCTTGCCCGTGGTGCTCAGCATGCCACTAGCTGCAGGCTTGTTCCTCCCTCTGCGGTGCAGAGGACGGGCACCGCGGGGCCTTGGTGTGGGCTGCACAGCATGCAGCTTCCCTGCTGTTAAGGTGGGACTTGGAAGTCCTGGGTGAACTGTGCGTCCCTAGGGCAAGCTCATTTCAAGTTTTTAAGCAAAAGCATTTCTAACCACTTTTTTTTCACCCTGTAGTGGAATTTCCCTTAATCTGCTACAGGAATTTTTTGATATTTATAGCTTCTTACTCTAAAATATTTTAGTTCTGAGTCCCACCTCAGTGTTCAGAGGCTCTTAGGAGGGAGGAACTTCAACTCTCAACCTGTTCTGGGGCAGGCCTGTTTGCGCCTCTTTCGGAAACCTGCAAAACCCACAAGAGATGGTCCCACATCTTCTTCCAACTGCCCGCTTACCAGGGCAGACTCTTTGCCCTGCAGTAGTGCTTGCAGCCCCTTGCCACAGGTCCTCACCTCTGCTTCACATTGCTACGAGGCTGTGTGAACTTTGCCCCGCCACTGATGCCACACAGAGAACATTTGGCACGCTGTGACGGGGATGTATGCCTTTTGTTGCACACGGTTCTTCCTTGTAATTAGTCCTATAGATAGCTAGCAAGGCTGATGTCAGGCCGTGTCGCGGCTCTAACTTGCACGTGCTGTGCAGTGAGCTGGGAAAGTGTGGCTCCGGCCACACAGCCGCTGAATGGCAGCAGTGGCAGGGCAGGATGCATCTAGCTGTGCAGGGAGGAGGGCGTGGGATCACCACTCTCTGATAAAAGCATCATCTGACATTCGCATAAGCCAATCTGAATCCCACCTTGCAGCATTTGCCAAGGCAGGAAAATATTAGCCCTCTCAAATAGAGAGATTCTGACTAAAAGATAATTAACTTGTCATTTCTAGCATTGGGGTCTCTTAAAGCCTTTCACTGGATACTTTTTTATTGTTCCTAAATTGATATAATTAAAATTAGTCAACTTAATTTGCAATAATTGCAAGTGCTTCTAAGAACAGTGTTGAGAACTAGTTCTGTGCTGCTTTGCTGGGTAGTCATTTAGACGTGACATGAATGTCAAGTCCTACCACTGTGGAGTGAAGAAATCTGACTTGATGCGGTGTTGCAGATAACAGTAAACCAGCTATAAGATACTGTTGCAAAAGCATTACTGCACAAGCCTAGCAGTAACCAGTAATGGCAAACATCACAACTTCGCTGTTCTCATTCCTAATGTGCCTGCACTGATCTTCACCTGTGCCTGGACCTACAATGATGTGTGAGTGACCATCACGCAGGCCAAATGAAGTCAGATTCAAGATCAGAGCCCAGAATTATTCCTGTTAGTGAAAAAAGGGTGAACAGGGATTTTTAACATTCTTTCATCACACATTGTAGGTATCTGTTATTATCCTTTTAGTTACTTTCCACAGCAGGTCCTCCTCTGGTCTGGTAAGGGTGCTACAGTCAGACATCTATCTGCTTGTAACTTACTGGAGGGCTGAACTCTTGAAAAGTGGTTACAAGAAGATGCAGGTTTAAGGGTTTAGAGTATATAAATTCTTTTGTTCACGGAAAAAGTAACATTATTTACGAATTTTATAGGTAGGAAAGTTTTTTTTACAAAAAACAAGACTAGTTTTTTGCCTGGTGTTACATATATTCTTATTGCAAAAGAAGAGGCTTAGTTTTCTCAAACGCAGTTTAGTATTATTATTGTAATGAGGTCCACAACTATATTTGAAAATCCCCGTAATATTTTTCTGCTCGAAGAAGGAATTAGTCTTGTTTTCTGTAAAGTCTCCTCAAAGCGTAATGCTTCATTTAAAATTAATAAGGCTCTGACCTACATAGTTTACAAAAGAATTAAATACTGTAATAATGTGAAGGCCCTATTTTTATGGTGCAGTTAATTTCTATTTTCCCTTTAGTATTATGAATGTTCACTTCTTCCTTTGAAGTATGTGTTAGACTAATGCCCAAACAGTGTTCACTAAAAGGGAATGGAAATGGGGTGAATTTGTGGCCTTTTCTGATGGAACACATTGATATTTCTAATGCTCCCTTGTCTCCTGACCTACCGATCCCATCTGATTAAACATTCCAGCATCAGCTTTTAGAAAACTTTGTTGATTTTTTTTTTTATATCCTCCCTCCATGCGATTCCACAGGGAACAGAAATCTGGCAGTGTCAAAAATACAAAGGGAAACGCTGTCCAAACTTTATGTGCAGTTGATGTCCAGATCCACTTGCTATCCAGGCCTCTCAAAACAAGCCAAACTCTGAACTTCAGTCCTTATACAGTGACAGCTTGGGATATTTATGCAACTGTATTTTGGATTTTTCTAGAAAAGTGTGCCTAAGGAAGAGGAGTAGAATACTGGTGAGGACACAAACTGGAGAAGGATGACGAGTTAGTGGTTACCACAGCCAGACACGATTAACCATTATTGTTGTTGCCCGACTTTATCGATGATAACCTGCTACTTGCAGTTGTCTGAGTTGGTTGATATGATCTAGACAGGCTGATATTTTTTAATGAAGTGAAATCCGTCAGTAGAAATGGTTAGTGGTATGTTAAAAAAGGATACCTTACCAGGGCATGTCCTTCTTCCCAGGCTTGGTGCAAGAGAAGGGCATTTTTCTTTTAGCAAATTCTGAAAGAAAGAAGATTCCAAATAAATATTTTCTTTGACAGAGTACAAAGAAGTACTGTGTCCTTGAGGAGAATTATTGGCATTCTATAGCAGTTTCCAAAAACGGATGCTGCGCGGGATATATTTGTGTGTGAGTTTCTTTTAATTGGCAAATAATAAATGAAAAATCAGAAAGTGAAACAACATGAAAGAAGATAGCATTTAAAGAAAACAAGTAACAGGCTGGTACTACATTACTTTGCTGGAATTCTGATTTTTTGCCCTGTGGGTTCTTGCTGCATTTCATATTCTAAAAACTATTGCAACCTGTAATCGTTTCACAGAATGTCTTTCTAGGAGAGCAAAGATTGGGACCCCATTGCAGACTGAGCAGCCATTAAAGCTTGTCTTCACTCTCTGTACTGACTTTAGATAGTTAGTTGGTACAAGTACCCTTCAGTATGTCCCAGTTTAGTTTGTTTAATAAAATTTTTCTTTTTCTTTTTCTTCTTTCAGTTGATCTTAAAAAAGGCCCATGTCCAAATGGTGCAAAGTCAAATCTCCCCAAGCCGTGTCAGTCTGGACTTCGTCCTCCTGGTTATTCACGGTTGCCAGCAGCTAAGCTGGCAGCCTTTGGTTTTGTCAGGAGCTCAAGCGTATCCTCTGTCTCAAGCAACCAGTCAAATGACAGCGTTCAGAGCGATCAAAGCAGGACAACCAACCGTAAGTCCAAAAAGTGGTGTTCTTTTGGGGGAATATTAAATAGATGTAGTCCAGAATTGTCCAAAATGGAGTTTGTCTACAAGGACTACTTTAATCTGTGTAACGCTCACTAACCTCTTCTGTGCCACTGAGTTGTGGGTTTGGAATCTTGATTTCCCAGTTTAATTTTTTAAAAATATTGTTAATAAAAGACGAATATTGGCTGAACATGTATTGCATATATAAGGGATTAGTTTCCCTATTGCAGAGAAAATTGCGTAAAGAGTGGACCTGAGGCATCTTTGTATTATATTCTCACCTAGAATCTTCCTTCTTACAAGCTGAAGTAAGTAAATAAACACAGTAAACTGATAAGCACATTGTAGTCATGGAGAACAGGTTAGGATAAAGGTTCTCTAAAATGAGCAATACAGTCTTTCTCATCTGCTTTTTCCTATGGCTCTTTATATGCAGCATGATAAACTTGATTTAGAAAGTTAATCAAACAAATGCCAGTGATATAAAATAAGATCAGAACTGATATCAGAGTTATTGTCTCATCTCCAAACTCGGAAAGAAGCCTTGGCGGAAATAGCATTTCAAATCCTATTTTCTGTAGCGACTGTTCATTTTATTAAGTACAAAATAATACACGCTGCAGCATGCAGTCTTTGGGAAGTGTGCAGTTGCCCTGGGCTCAGAGCTGGAAGGGGGATTAAGGGATTTTCACACCAGCTTTTCTTTGAAGAGCGGATTGAGCCTGAACCGTGTCAGTATCAAATCCAGTGGCATCAGTCCTGCAGGAGCACGGAGAGGGCGACCAGGTGGCATAAACTGCCAGCGGCAGCAAGACGGTGCAGGGTCCGAAATCTTTCCATGTTAGTATTCATCTGAAATGAATGACAATAAATAAAATGAAAATGAAAAACCCTAAGGATTTTCTCTTTCCGCTTTTAAATGGGGTCATTGAAATGCAGAAGACTAAAATGTCCAGTGAGTTCTAACTCCTATAATGTCGCTAAAAATACACCTGAATCCTTGTTTTACTCTTGGACTGACTGCACGTTTGTATTTATGTCATAATGAGCATTCCTTTGTTCTGAGGGGTAGTCAGTCTGCTTTGCTTTGCATTTTTGCCCTACTTTTATGCCTTTAGAAAGCTTTTCCTTTTACCAGGTAGTGTAATCTTTCTGGTTTAGGTTACAAAAAGCCTTTGTTAAGAACAGGGGAGAAAGAATTATATAATTCCTGCTTAGACAAGCAAGAAATGTTCTTGTCCAGCAATTTCATATGTTCATCTGTAGGTATCCTACTGAATACACTTGGTGCATATAGTTTAATGTATTAGAGAATTCTCTAAATAATTAAAGTACTCTGAACTGAGTCAATTGCTTTCAGTTCACAAACTTTGGAAGAAGCACGAGTAATCTCAGACCCAGGAAGCTACATCAAACTCTTCACTCATCTCAACAGAGGTTGATTTGCTTTCTATATTGTGGTGTATTTTTTAATTATGTTTGCACATAAAATGTGAAACGGTGTTTCATTCACCACAAGTACGTGAAAGCATTCAGCTCAGATATTTAGTTTCAGCTCACTAAGTTGAAGGAGGTAGCTATCTTTAATATTAGACTTTGGATTCTGGGAGCAGCTTGTGCACGTTGAAAGAGTGTTTCTGGATGCATGTGTTTTAAAAGTCAGGAGGTAATTGCCTGTGGGAGATGTTCTTGTACAAAGTGCTGTAGGCACAAGCTTAGACTGTCACCTGGCGAAAAATGGGAACTATCCTTTCTGCTGCTGCCCACAAGTTAGGTAGCGTATCTCAGCAGTTGTCTGGTTTCCCTGCATCTGCATGGGGAGAAGTAGAGAAACGAGCACCTCCAGCGGGTCGTCTCTAACATGGTTTGTGTTACATGCACAGCTGTCTGGCCAAGAAGTTAAAACTGTTTTTATTTGTGTTTAATTCAAAAAGAATGGAAGCAGAAACTGCCTGGGCCGGGTGAGAGAGGGCGAAGGGGCGTTCCCACAGGTGTTCAGGCTGTTAGCCCGCAGGTTAGCCCTCATCACCCAAGAGTTCACCTAATGTCACCCTCTTCCGCTGGCTTAAAGGCAAGCACTGTAACTCTTGTTCGTTGCTCCTGATAGGATTACTTTCTTTCCAGTGCGGTAGAAAAAAAATTGTTTCCTGACTGATGAATAATTAACTTTCATAGAAATGTTATCAGTATGAAGCTGTATCTTCTTTTTCTATTTATAGTCTATGTACCAGCAAGAGTTTTATTAGTTGCCCTGCACCCAGGGAGCACAAATTAGTTGCCTTCCGTTCTAGTGCAGCTTATTTAACACAGATCAGCAGTGTGCTTCAACACTCGCAGGAAGTAACCGAAGAGTGGGTGTAGGGGAGAAGTATTGGCCTAGCAGTCTTAGCACAACATATTATTTCTTCCCTTCACTGTCCACTGGAAGAATGATTTTATTTAAATTAAATAAATGGCTGATTCTGTAGTTACTACTTGAGATCATGCGTTCAACTAAACCACGGTAAAGTTTTACTTTTAATTTCCTAGCTCAGTAGGGTAGAAAATGCTGAATGATCTAGCTTTAGAAATCTTCAAAGATATATGATAACACAGTTTCCTGTTTAAGCAGCATCTCTGTGTGCTGGGGAGAGAGATTATAATTGAAAACAACTTACAAGCCTGCATATGTTATAAATGGAGGAGCCGCCACTGTTGTAAGTGGAGGGGCTCACCTCAAGATTTTATATCTATCAGAGTGAAAAACACATCTAATCCTGTAAAAAAATCACAGTGCATTGTCAGTTTCTAAAAAGCAGATGGCTATAGCTGGGTGAGAGGAAAACACAGGTGTATTTTGCGGGGAGAGTGTTTTTTGGTAGATAGTGATTGTTGATCTGAAGAAGTCCCTATGTGATCCCATATTTGCTTTTTTCTGCCCTACCAGGTGTTTCATGGTGCTAGCTCTTCCCAGAACCTGTAATGGCTGCATTTCTTTTCAGAAATCCCAACTGGTGTCTCATTTTGACATACGAATAGTGATTAAAGGCTGTCTAGAGACTAAAACCGTATTTGTTTAGTCTAAAGAGGCATGGTATTTGTGTTGTGGGGAAGTTTGTTAATGAAGCTGTTATGCAGCAGCTTTGTTCTTAACCAGGTTTCTCCGCTTCCCATGACCTTTCTGAGAGCAGCAAGCCTGGATGAGACGTCCTGGTCTGTTCAGCTGACTCTCTGGCTCTGGCAATAGCTCACATGCGTTTATTGACTCAGTTAAATGGATGTGTAGTGGAGGGACGGTGCTCTTTTCCCGCAGAGCAGACTGGGCAGGCTGTGCAACGTTTCCCTGTTGGCTCTCTGGTCTTGTCGACACGGGGCACGGCTGGGCACCTCTCTTGAGGCCATAGGCATAAGCCAGGCTGCCGCTCGGCAATAATGTGTGGACTGACGCAGCCACGCCATCAGGTGCAGATCAGGATCATTCATAACCGGGTTCTGCTTTGAAGTGATGCTGTCACTTCTCTGCTGGGGCTGGAGGGCCCCCTCCAAAACACCCAGGCCTCTCACCAGCTTCTGGGGCAGAGGAGTGACCTATGAGAACAATTCCCTGGTCATTTTTGGCCATTGAAAATCCACCTTGTGCTGCTTGCACTTGGCACATAGGGGAGCCAGGCCACATGCAGCCCGTTTGGGGTGCTGCTGGCAAGGGAGCCAGCTTCTCGGCTGGTGGAAGGCAGTGGGACGTGACTGCAGAAGCCAAAGACCACTCTTCTGAGAGAGGCAGCTTGTTCCTGAGATGGATCAGGGACGCTCACCGCAGCTGCCCACTGGCTGTGCTGCCATGTTTGAAACAAAATGGTTAAAATGGTTCAGCACGAGCTTTTTATTCCCCATGTCAAGCAAGGCAGCAGCTGTGTTTGAATGAAATGCCTCGGAGAAACGCGGACCCTGAGGGCTGTCCATACGTTTCCTAGGGGTCCATCTTCTGTTGCAACCAGTGCTCTTCTCTGCTCTGTAAGGAGAGCGCAGCTTTCCCCACTGGATTCACACTTGGCATCCCCTTGCTTTTTGGATTAGAGTAGCTCTACACTACTGCCAGCAAATCGCAGTGCAAACCGGGTGAAGTCTTCCACTGGGACACCAAGCTGCAGGACATGCATGTTCTGGCACTGAGGTGCATGAGGCGGTCGTGAAGTCCCAGGCTGGGACTCCGCACTGCATTCTGTACCCCCAAATTCATGCCGTTCCCCAGATCTATTTTCAAATACTACTTTTGTTCAAGCTTACCTGAAAAGTTCATGCTTACCCTCAGCTCCTGCCTAGTACTTTTGAGCTTAAAAATACATATATCTTCTAAACCATTTTGGGCAGCAGTTTTTTGTATTGCAAGAAACTTGAAACTTGTCTAGTTTTTTTACACTCTAAACTATCTAGAACTTAAAAGTTCAGATGCACTATGCATTTAATCAGTGTAAGAGGGGCTTGCGTGTTCTGCTAAGTATGAGCAAAAGTGAACGAGTAGCAAAGTCATGTCAATGGCTGAAACTGGTATGATTTGAGTGAAGTGAAAAGAATGTGTTAATGGAAATGAAAACACTCCTAACTAAATAAATTATAACTAAATAACTGAATGTTTTCCCTTGGAATTTAAAATATACTATTGAAGCTTCTCCTGCATCTGCCCCAGTAATATTTGCTTTAAGAGCTTTTGAATCTGAATGTAAGATACCAAAGTTTCCACAGCTGTGACTGTGGTTTCCAGCATTATCTGGTAATTCTATAGTAGAGTAACATTATGCTCAGGCTGTAGTTTCTGTTTTCCTTGTTAAGAGTTGCTCAGAGCTCTCTGGGTTGCTCATATCTGTATTTCTAGTGGTAGGATGAATATTCTGCTCACATAATTAGTTTTATATACCTAATCAGAACAGACTCTAACATACTGTAAGTACCACATGGAAAACACTTCATTAAACACTATGAAACAGTTGGATGTGTGCAGCATTGGAA